GAATAGAATAGAATAGAATAGAACAAAATAAGGAATAGAATAGAATTAGAATAGAATAGAATAGAATAGAATAGAATAGAATAGAACAGAACAAAATAGGGAATAGAATAGATTAGAAGCAGAATAGAAGGAGAATAGAATAGCATAGAATAGAACAAAATAAGGAATAGAATAGAATAGAATAGAATAGAATAGAATAGAATAGGAATAGGAATGGAATAGAATAGGACAGAACAGAATAAAATAGAATATAAAAATAGGAATAGGAATGGAATGGGGAATAGAATAGAACATATAAGCAATTAAAAAAGTTAAAATTGAACTGAAACCAGAGATATTTTTATTAGGAATTTTAAAACAAAAGATTAGTAAAAAATCATTATATATTATGCTTCACATATTAACAGCAGCAAGGTTTGCCTTTGCCCAGAATTGGGAATGTGAAAATACTCCCCGCAACTTTATGATTATAAAGAAAACTTGGGCATGTGCAGAAATGGACCGGATGGAACTCAGTGGAACTCAGACACAACGAGGAGTCAGAGAACTACGAGATTTGGAATTTATGGCACAGTTGGTTGGAAGGTAGACATCAAATGAACAAAAGAAAGTCAAATAAGAAGGCATGACGGAAATTAGCAATATCACATGCAATCAGATATACATTTGTAATATATAACTAGATGAAACTTCATGTTATACATTAATGTAATGAGTGTGAATGATTATTTTACATAATTTGAGAGAGGTCAAATTGAGTGAACGCTGTCTTGCTCACATTGTGATAAGTGGACTTTGGTTTTATTGTAATTTGTATAAATTTGTTTAATAAAGTATTTTTCTAAAAAAAGGATAGAATAGGGAATAGAATGGAACGAATGGAATGGAATAGTAAAATAGAATGCAGTATAGAATAGAAGACAGTAGAGTAGAGTGGAATAGGGTAGAATAGAGTAGAATAGAATAGAATTAGAATAAGAGTAGGGATAGAATAGAATAGAACAGAAAATTCTGGGAGTTGAATTCTGGGAGTTAAAGTTGCCAAGGTTGGAGACCCTAAATCTCAGGACTGAATCTTTATTTTTATTGATGTGGGTTTTTATAACATTGCCTTTATGCTGTTTTATGGATAGCAAATTGCCCAGAGTTGTTTTATGATGGGCAGTTATATCCATATTTTGAATAAATAAAGATTGAGTTGCTAAAATTTGCTGATACTAGTTTTCACATTTTATTTTAAAATAAGCCCCAGAATAGACATGTGAGACCCCAGAAGGCTTATGGTAACTCCCCAGCCCCCCCCCCCCCCCAAAAAACCCAAAGGAGGATCAACATTTGGGCCCCTGCCAGTTCAATGCCTTCGCTTGTACCACCATGGCTTCCCCATTGGGGTCCTCAGAAGCTGGAAAAAATGAGGCAGCCGCCAACCACAAAACTGGCTGGCTCCATGCCAAGGCCTGAGCAGAGGCATCCTTGGGATGTGACTGCCAAAAAAGCAAAAAAATCCATCTGGCAGCTGCAACAGCATCATTTCTAATCTATGTTAAAAGGGGGAGGGGGCTTCAGTCATAGCCGTGGCCTCCATCTTGACTTTTAGGAGCTTTCTCTCGGACGTTCCTGGCCCTGAGCTCTTTTTTTAATGGCTCTTACAGTCTCCCTCCAAACTGTGTATCCAGCAAACAGTCCCAAGGGGTCAGCAAAATGCAGGATGCAGGATGCAGCCATGCCTGCCTGTGGTTATCTTACTTCCCCAGAGCCGCCGCCCCCCCCCCGGGGGGGGGGAGGGAAACCTTTGGACAACCCTGAAGGGTTTGGAGAAGCAGAAGGAGCCACATGGGTGACCTGCAAGGCTTAAAAATACCCCCGTCTCTTTTAAATGTCCTTTAAATCCTGCTGTGCCCAAGCCAAAAAGGGACGTGGTGGCTAAGATGCTGCGCTTGTCGATCAGAAAGGCCGGCAGTTTGGCGATTCAAATCCCTAGCGCCGCGTAACAGAGCAAACTCCTGTTCCTTGTCCAGCTTCTGCCAACCTAGCAGTTCAAAAGCACATTAAAAAAAAAATGCAAGTAGAAAAATAGGGGCCACTTTGTGTCAGCTTTGGAAGCCATATTAGCACCAGACGCTTCCACACTGCCACCTTCTTCAGCCTGGGAAAATGGGCCGGGGGGGAATTTCACACTTTCACACTGAAACTGAAAGAGAAAAAAGAATCCAAATATTTCTTAATTTGGAATAAAATGGCATGATTGGGTGACATACAGAAATAAGAAATTAATCTGTAAGAGACCTCAAGAAACGAAACTGTAAAGATGTAGAATATGTAAGAATAACAATTATAGAAAAAGTCATTAATTAATATTAGATAAATGTAAATACAATGTGTTAAGATATATAAGATAAGAACCTGTATACATGTCAAAAATGCTGTTGAAACGGTGATGTTTTATGTTGTAATAATGGAAAAATAAAAAAAATATATATTTAAAAAATGCAAGTAGAAAAAATAGGGAAGGAAATAGCGTTCCGTGCGCCTTCGGCGGCGTTTACTCATGCTGGCCACATGACCACGGAGACGTCTTTGGACAGCGCTGGTTTTTCGGCTTTGTAATGGAGATGAGCACCGCCCCCTAGAGCCGGAAACGACGAGCGTGTATCATGTGCGAGGGGAACCTTTGCCTAAGCAGCTTTCTACAAGAGAAAAGCATCACTGGTCATCCTTGACTTACAACCACAATTGGAAAGGACTTCAAGGCAGTGGCTGAGTGACTTGCAGCCAATTTTGCAACACTTTTTTTGTGTGCAAAGGTCATTAAGCGAATCACTGCAATTTTTAAGCAAATCGCACAGCCGTTTAGCAAATCCGGCTTCCCCCATTAACTTAGCTGGAAAGTTAATATTTAAAGTTAATTAAGCAGCCTGGAAAGGTCACATATGATGACCCTTTGACCCCTGGACTCTGCAACTGTCGTAACTACTTGCCGGTTGCCGAACAGCCAAATCTGGACCGTGTAACCTCTGAGAGGATGCAGTAATTGTAAATGCAACTTGTAAGCAGGGGTGGGATTCTGCTGGTTTGGGCGAATCCCTGGCTCCGAAGACCAGCTGGGAGTGAACCAATGAGCACTGCCCCTCTAGAGCCGGAAATGACTGGCATGTAGGGGCGAGGGGAACCTTTACCTTTTACCTTGATGCCCAAGCCAAAATAAGTAATTTCCCGACATAACAGCCGTTGTTGGCTGTTAAAGTGGGATGATTTTCCACATTTGGGTTCTTTAAAGTGAAAAATGGACTTGCAACATAATTTTTTCCTCCAAAATGGGCAGTTTTTTTAAAAAGAGAAAAAAACGTGGCACTTTGAGCATAGGAAGGCCGTGCTCCTCTGACCTATAAGAGCTGCCCCTTGGGACACCTTTGCTTACGGTTCCCTTCCCCGCTTGGGCCCATGTGCCCAATTTATGAACTCTGTTAGTGTCAGATCTGCCCTCTTCAGCTTAGGGCTTTGCTGGCATCCTGTCATGAATTGTTAGGGGAGGGGGGGGCTATTTGGCACATAGAGGGTAGAGATGGGCAAGGGGTGTGTGTGTGTGTGTGTGTGTGTGTGTGTAGAGAGAGAGGGAGGGTGGGAAGGGGAGAGAGAGGGAGAAAGAGAGAGAATGAACGGTGTGAGAACTAGCCTGTTCCAATGTTCAAGGCTGTGGAGCCTGGGAAAAGAATGAACTGCACCAAGTGGCACCTACCGAGCTAATTCCCAAATGCCTTTGGGCTACAACGATTGGAGGGTGACAGACTGGTCGAGGGGTGGGAGGGCCGGGCAGAAGAGGAAAGAATTGTAACTCTTTGCGCAGGAACCTCAGATCTTGTTCTGACCCAAACCTTGTTCCAAGGAAACAAACACCCAAACAGAGGTAACAGCAAAATCTTTTAATGATTCTTTACAAATTCCATTCCTTCACAGTTAAAAGGCTGTTTCCAACTAATTGTCTCTGATAAGAACGAGCCTTGCCAAGGTGGTGCAAGGCTGCCAAGAACATGAGATAAAGTTACTAAGAAATATTTCAAACACAAAGAGTCTCCAAACACCAACCAAAATATTCCGACCGTCCACCAGGCTTGAGTGCAAAATCTTCTTTGCTTCCTGCAAAGAACTCCGGATTCTCAGCTGGCTTTTATCTCTTAAGGGAGGGGCCATTACCTTGCAGCCTTACTCCCGAGTTGCCCATGCTGCTGCAGGTGCTCTTTCCTTTGAGCAGCCCTGCACGCACACACGCTGAGCACAGGCTCCTCAGGGGCTTCTTTATCACTGCTGCCAGCCTCCACCATCTCCAAAGGCAGGACTCCACTCCCTGATGGTCCTGGCCCCATCCCTGCCTCACACACAGGCCCCTCCTCTGAGTCCTCGCTCTCCGAGACCTCAGACATCCACACCTGCTGCCAGCAAAGCACAACAGATCTAACCTTTCTGTTTGCTGCCACCAGCTATCCTCAGTAAAAGATCCTATCGCTTCAACCCAATGGAGTCGAGGG